ATAAAATTTTGTATCTGTTATATAAAATATATGTAACATAAAATAAACTAAGAAATAAGTAAATGTTTTTAGTGTGAAGGATGAAGGATGAACCTGATGCATTAATAATAAGTTATGAACATTTGTTGTCAATTTTGATGTCCAGTCTGTTTCTTTTTTTCGGTAGAAGATTGGGAACAGCGCTGAACCCCCTTTCCACTAGGTATGATGATGGAAAGGAAAATAAAAATTTTCCTCGCTATATTCCATAATACGGGATAAGCAACCGAACGGGTATGTTGTTATTATCCGTTGATATCCGTTTTTAAACTGAAACTTAAGTTCTTCGTTTGTACTTAGTTCAGTCAGTTCCTCTTGTATTATGACATTCGTTTCTTCTATGTCATCATATGGGTTAATTATCCATGGTGGTATTACCATAGTCAAAACATCCTCAAACCTAGTTTCTAAATCTGAATAGAATTTAAATGTTGAACGTAGGTTGTTGAAACGTCGTCTTCCTGGCAGTTTGTCTGTGACAAATTGGGAAACTATTTTGCTTCATTAGTTTAACTCTGGCAAGAAACGCTGATAAGATAGACTTTGTTTGAATCAAATTTAGACTGTGGCCTTGTAACTGCAAATTAACCATATTAAATTTTGTAAACAAATCTGTTAAATAGACAATGTCTGTTTTCCACTTCATTAAATTGTCTTTTAAAATTTTATCTTTAGTATCCAGAAATTCTAAAATAGTCTCAAAATGTGCAAAAAATCTAACATAAGCCTTTCGATAGCTAAGGTACTTCAGTGTGAAGGAGTAATTGATGTAAGTATTCAACGCGTTTCTTCGGATTACTGCATCAATGACTAATTGAAGAGATTCATACAATCTAACACTCAAATTTTTAGCAACTAAATAATGTATATGTCTTTATATTATAAGATAGTATAATAGATAGTAAATAGGTACTGTCAGTGTATGTTGAGATCCACTATTGTGGACCCCCATTTTCATTTCATGGACCCCCAAATTTTTTTTCCGCCGACGTAGACCCCTTGCAGCTTGTCATAGACCCCTGGGGGTCGATATAGACCACTTTAGGAATCACTGGTGTAATCGAAGAAACACGTATATACTAAACAAATTGTAAACTCATTCATTTCATTTTACCATTCGATTTACATACATTCACTTAAAGTACGACAATTTGAATATACAATATGTACATTTACCGAACACTAACTATATTTATAATATTATATGTAACTGCAAATAATTAATGATTGGTATATCAATTTCAAATTAACATCAAATTAAAGCACGATTGGGTAAAAGTAGGAACTGAAATTGTCGTGCAGATTTTTATTGTTGATAATTTTTATTGAAAACTATATTTGATATAAATGATGCTACAAATTATATATTCGTGAAACAGTACTATTTGCTTTTAATATAAAATTAGTATTTTATTTAATTTAAACAATTTGAACATAAATAAAAAAAAATCAATTAAATATTGAATAATATTGATGATACTATATGTAATAATTTCAGTTATATCGTTATTTGATAAATATTAAACATGAAAAAACAAATACACATATACATATGTGTGATGATTTATTTTTCTTAAATTTCCACACATAAATTGTTCTGATTCGAACTACATTCATAAGCACTGTAACTCAGTGTTTTAATAAATGTGCAATGTTTTTTCATCCAAAAGACAAATTTGGAAAAATATCAGTAAATATTTACTTCAATTCAATTCAATTCCTGGTAAGAAACACTTTTACGTAACGGGAATTGCGATAAATTCCCAATTTAAATTTAAATAATAATACGAGCACGATATTACATTTTTTCTCGCCCCTCCGTTCCATAAATCTGAATCGATTCAGAGCAAAAAAAATACTGGAGAGAGAACGAAAATTAAATTTTCTTTTATTTATTTTCCAGCAATTAATCTTTCTCTCGCCCAGCGATAATGAGAACCCGATCTCTTTCCCTCACATCCACTATCGTACGCTATCTATCTCCCTTTGCTCACTCCACGATCTTCCTTGCTTCGATATTAGTTAATCATTTCTGGGAATTTATTAACTTTCGATAAGTCTTCCAAAAATAATCTTTCCATTTTTCTTTGTTTTTTTTTTCTCTTCTTTTATGTTTCCTTTCGACTTAATCTCTTACATTTCTTTTTCAGTTTGAGATTTCTAAGAAAGAAACTTTTATAATAAGTCTTAAATACAATTTTAAATCAATCAATAATATAATTTAGTATTTTCCAAACTTTATTGCATTTTATTAATATTAATAACAAGTTACCAATTTGGATTTTAATTCAATGATTTCACGAAATTACTAAACAAACGTCGTCTTCAGAAGCAATAATAATATGACTAGAATGGGGATATTTTATCTTATATTTGATCAAAAAAAAGTTTTATTAAATAAACATTTAACTTACATAAAAAGTGAAATCACATTTTAAATCAGGATAATTTATAGTAAATTCAAAACGTTTTCAATGATTAAGTACCTTTTTAACTTTTGGTTATTTCCACTGAAAAAACATAATTTCCTGCATTCAATAAATGACTAACACCTCTTCATCAGCATAATTGAAATTTATTGATTAGGCCACCAGGATAACTTCGTTTAAAATTTGTTTTCTTCATTTAGTACAACTTCTGGCCATTATTTATTGGATGATTGTCAGTCTTGGCTTTAAATTGGAGTATGTAAAATATACATATAATCATTATATTGTTATGCTCCATTGTAAATAGATTTTATATAATCAAAACCGTCTATTATCAAAACAGGATAATAGACTTAGTTTTACCTGAAACAACAATATCTCCAAATTACTGACTTGAAAGGCAATGAACTATCAATATATAAAGTTAAATAAGGAAATCATACACCGACGCCATTCAAAAAGAGATAATTTAGTGAAGTTCAATAAGACACATCATATAGATATGTATACATCGAGTTTTAAATCTTATTTACTACATGATACTTGCAATGTAACTTGTTAAGTATTACGTATTTCATTGTATCTTTTACTACTATAACTTTATAGCTTGTTCTACAAAAACTTACAATTCTTATAGTATATAATAACTTCAACAATATGTTAATATTATATAATAATTGCTGTAATTTAGTTTAATTTGTGTGTGACTGTTACAAAAATATAATATTATATTCCAGGAATACCTGTAGTCCAACTTCAATCAGTCCGAGTTGTCAGGAAAATGAAAATAAATTCTAAACAATAAGTACACAAATTTACTTTATTAACATAAACTACCTATTATCCCTATATATTATATATACAGTCAAGCATCATTTTGTTTATTTTTTACGCCTCGATTAGTCTAGAAACCGCTAACCCGGACTATTCGAGTTATTAATCAAAAAAAAAATTGGCTTTTGCACATTTGTTATATTTACACAATGACATAAATTCATCAGTTTTGAGTTAAAATTATAGCCACTTAGATTTTATGTAATTAAATAATATGACGCATGTGGCTAGTACTAAGGCCTTCTTGTCTTAATTACTTTCCTGTAATAGGCGGCTGAGGATTTGGGCGTCCTCTTCCTGCTCGGATCCGTGAAATTAACATGATACAACCCGAATTTAACACTGAAATAACATGCAGATTTTTTTGTTTATACGCTTGGATCTAATTTAGTTTTTTTACGTGTATCCTTCGCGCCATTCCATATTGTCCATCAAGCTCCAAATTGTATAGGCTTTAACGTTACAGCCATCCAATGAAATCGAATTCAATATAGCTTTGAGATATTCCTGTAATTTAATATTACAATGCTCGATAGAAATAATTATAAATAAAATATACTCGATGATATTCGATACGATTGATATCGTTCATTTCTCCCAAATCCGCGAACCCGTTCTCAGTGATGAACACCAACGGATTTCCGTACTTCTCCTTGATCCAATTCAGCAGCTTCCTGATACCCCATGGGACCACTTTCAACCAGTGCAGAGCCGACGGTTTCCAATCCGGATCTTGCTCCATGAGAACACCCATGTCCTTTGTGTGACTGATGGTGGCGTTCAGCGGCAACTCTCGGTGGCTAACAAGCCACGTAGAGTAATGATTCAAGCCCAAGAAGTCGCTACTGCCTTTGATTAGATCGATTTCTTGCTGAGTGAACTTCGGTAGTCTCGACCTGGGAAAATTCTCCAAGTGGCTTAGCTTTGCAATGCGTTTCCTCATTATTTCCGGATAATCCCCCATCTCCGATAGAATAGGATTCACCCACCATCCGTACTGTAAACAAACATTATTAACTTATCCTTTGATTGTTCTCGAGTGGCGTTAAAGTACGTTCATTTCCATCAACCTTTCCGCCGCTTTCCTGTTAGGCCTACTCTCCGTCTTCGGCTCGCTCCAAATCGAATTAACCGTGATCCCGATTTTACCTAAAAGGAAAATCGTTAATCATTGCTATAAACATGCCATATATAAGGGGTGGTTAACAAATCGATCGAGATCGACCAGTCTATCATAAAGTAAATTTTGGTGGATAAAAATTAGATATTCTGTTCACAAAAGTTGGCCACCCCTGCCATATATTACCTTTTTGTTTTTTCTTGTAGACTCTTTTGTAGAGATGATAGGCTTTGGCATGGGCCAACAGGAGTGTCCTTCCGCAAAGGTAGTCCGCCGTTCCAGTGAGTTTTAGAGCCGGAGCGTCGTCGCCTTCCCCATAAGCTGATTCGCAAACATCGTTCGGTTCGTTGAAGGTGATCCACGTTTTGACGCGATCTCCGAAAGTCCTGAAAGCTACATCCGCGTAATCTTCGAAATACGTGGCCAATATTTCGTTGGGCCATCCACCAATGTCTTGTAGTTTTTGTGGTAAATCCCAATGATACAGCGTGACCATCGGCTCTATATTGTTGCGCAATAGTTCATCGATCAAACTGTTGTAATAGGCTATACCGGACGAAGAGATTATGTTAGTTTGGCCGAGCGGTAAGATCCTAGGCCATGACAAAGAGAACCTGTAGAAGTTAACGCCGAGGGCTTTGATCGCCGCCACGTCCTCTTGATATCGATGATACGAATCGCATGCCACATCTCCGTTTGTCCCATCCTTAACCCAGGAGGGATGTTTGTGGGTCAAACGATCCCAAATACTCTCACCCTTATCTGAATTAACATAAACTAAATATCAGGACGAGTGCGAAGCGCCATATTTAGTATGTATTACCGGTTTCGTTCCAACCACCTTCGATCTGATAGGAAGCCGTCGCCACGCCGAATTTGAAATCGGCCGGAAACTTTAAATCAGTCGTTACTTGGTGGGTTGAATGCAGATAGTATGATAAGCAGACGCATATTGCCCAGATGCGATCTGCGGCCATGCTTCCATTAATCGTCAAAATCGTCGAATCGTTTTCCACTTGTCGGACGGCTGACCGAACGTTCCTGGACGATATTTTGCGGCTGAGAATTTATATGCACGTATCGGATGACACCGAGGTGTAATTTACTGATACGGATGGCCGAAGGGAAGTTGTAACCTCTGCTACCAATACCACTGCTACTACTAACTAGTAGTAATAGCACTTCAGCTCGAATGTCCGCATAAACACCACTACACATGATGGAATATTTATGAGTCGGATTCAAGACAATGTTATGCTATATTGTGCGATGAATCTTTGGCCTTTGCTCCATATCACAACCAATCGTATCTATTTAAAGCTTGGATACACGGTTTTATTTTTGTCAATACATTGATTCATTTTTATAACTCCATTTCTCTTTTTCATTTTATATATTTTTTTTGCAGTCTTCTACCTGTTTATATAATATATTAACAATAACCTGAATTGTGGTATATATTTGTATAAAAATCAAAAGATCAAAGTTAAGTGTTTAAGACTGATGGATTGCATTCAATTTAATTTAATTCTAATTTTCAATATTGTATAAATGGAAAGTTAATTTATAAAAATATGTTTTTAAAAATATATTAAATATGAATTTCAAAAACATCAGTTCGTATAAAATAAACATTAGATATAAAAAATATCGAATTCATGAATGCAACAGAATACAAAAAAAATATTATGTTGCCAGATATTATTTTTTCAATAGCAAAAGAATTTCAAGTCTATTTATGTTGTCAAACGCGACAAATTGTTACGGACATTGATCAATAAATATCGTGAATATTAATTAATGAAACAAAATATTTTTTGTGAATTATATAGAAATACTTCTGTATAATTTTGAATTTCAATAAAGTTAAAAATTAAATTCATATAATTTTATATACAATAATTTGCAACATATTTAAGAGTTAACAAATAAATAAATTAATTTTAAGTTTTTAGGAAACTTTAAAGTTTCTGTCAGCATTCTTCAAATATTAAATGAAAAATTGCGTACAACCTTTGTTTTCAACTCTATATACCTGAATTATTTAATTAATAACAATAGAACGAGCGGTAGAACGAGCGGTTAAAATAAATTTATTCTACTCACTTTTTTGCAAATGAAACGAAAAATTATTTACGTAATTTTTCAGCGCATAACAGGTTTCCTCCGAACTTATTAATACCCAGGGACCTATAAAACTTTAAGATATTATATTCACAATTCGTCTGAAAGATTTCGTAGTCGATTACCGTTCAAAAGAAAAACGTTTCTAAAATAAAAATATTAAGATTACTTAAGTTAGTTATTCAATTATATTTATTAATAAATGAAGTGATGGACATACATGTACTTTTTTCACATATTACATAACTTTCATATATTTTGTTATAGTAAGTTCCATATGGCCAAATACTTTAAAAAATTACTTAGAGAAATACACGGTCTCAAGAAATTATTTGAAGAAATATTAAAAATATTTAAAAGAAACACGAACTATGTACAGGATTTTGACTTTTTGCATATTACGTAATGAGAACAACAGATTACAATTATAGGCCCATTTAGTGACATAACCATGCAAAATATTACATGACATATAATAGATTAACACTGAAGGACAACAATGCATAGCGCATAAGTAGAGTTGCTGCATGTGTAAGCAAAGGTATAAATTCGACTACTATTAATTTTATTGCACCAAAAATAGTATGAAACGTAATAATAAGTTAAATTTGTATTATATTTATTTGTAAATTTCATATATAACACAATTCCCAAAATAAATCTATATAAATGTACAAATACACAATAACAGTAAAGAAAAATAAACATCAACATGTTGCTTTCTTTCAGAACCCAAAAGTAGTAAAATTAATACGATTGCCATAACAAATTTCGTGTCGTACCTAACAAAGAGCCCTCAACAAGTTAAGGTAAAGAACGGTGATAGCTCCGAATCCCCCAGGGGGAGTCTTGGCAGCGGTATAATATATACATAAATAATATAGAGGAAACAAGAACTGAGCGGAAAACTGTACATATTTGGAGATGACACATAAAGAAGAAACAAGCTTGCAGAATAGTATAAATAGTAACGTGATTAAACATAAAAATAAATTCATCAACATAGATCAGGTAGAATATGAAAAGTACTTGCAAATCCTAAAAGAGAAACTAAAAAAAATTCATCGGCTATTGGGAAAATAAATGGATATCTCCCTGAGAAGTACAGGATGGCCATATACCATAGTATGCTTAGGTCAAGATTATGATTTGGGGATACACACCAAAGCCTTGGAAATGACCGATTCGGGATGTGAAGACTTTAATATCTGTAGTACATAAAACAATACAAACACAATTAAATGTAACTTCCAATAGTGATACTCATAGCCACCACACAATTAGGATGGAACAATACGAAACTATTATGCTCGATGAAAGTTTACTCGTGCCTGGCAATATAGAGTATAATAACATTTCAGAAGGAAAAGAAATAATATTATCAAATTTCAAAAAAAAAACTACATTATAAATTACTGAATAATACCTAATACATCATAAAGCAATACTAATACAACAATAGCTCACTTTCAATACCAGTTCCTAGGATTGCCGAAAGAACTGAAGTAACCAGTAAATAATAAAATGTATACAGTAATAGTTTTTTTTAAATAGCAAATATCATAAAACTATTTAAATCTACTATGTTCAATAATTTAAAACAATATTTTAATTCGAAAAAAAATTATAAAGAAAAATGTAA